TGCATTGCTGTTAGCTTAGGGCTAACATACTACCAGAATCCAACAGGGACACTAGCAGAACATGGAGTTATTGTAAAGATGGCTCTTTTCTTCATTTTCATTTTTGACATTTAAGGCCTGAACTGAAGGCCTAGCTCTGAAAATCACAGTTTGCCAATGTGATGCGTGTATCTTCTTAGAATAAAATAAATCTTTAGTTTTACAAATGTTTCAAGAAATATGAGAACTTCCACCAGTGAAAAGTGAGACCGCTCAAGTGTTGAACCTCATGCCTAAATAAAACAGAGTTGACAAACACAAAATAAATCCGCAAACTTTAAAATGGCCCTCACTTGGCCGATGAAAGGAGACATCTTAAGTGCCTATTCAAACATGTGCCAGACGTTTAACTGTGACGTGTAATCTCAGTGAATCCTTAGTGCCTGGAAACACAAGTGCTTCTAATTTAGAGGCAGAGAACCACTAAAGTACACCAGTATGAATCAGAAAAACGAGGGATAGAGTATGGAATGCTGCTATATTGTTTCACTGCTTTGCACAGCCTTATACTTAACAAGAAGCACACAATCTACTTATTATGCAATAATACAGCTGGCATATGTGCAAGGTAGAGAGAGAGAGAATCACGAGAGAAAGAGAGCAAGAGAGGCAGAGGAGGAGAAAGAGAGGGGGACAGAGAAATGGGGAGCCTATGAAACAAGAGCCCAGGACCCAGAGGACTCCAGGGAGGAAATGAGAGCACATAATGGGGCTCTACACTAAAAACACGCACCAGAAAAGCAGAGGCTCCACACTTGCTAGGAGGCATTCTCCTCCCCAACTGCGTGACTGTTCTCAAAAGCCACTTGCCCCAAACTTCTTTCTCTCTCTCTCCCTTTCTCCCTCTCTGTCGCCTGGGGTAAATAAATACAGGCCATGTGTACGTGTGTGCGTGTGTGCAGCGTGCTCTGCATAGATCCTTACCAAAACATTTGTTTCCTTTCATGGGCCAAGCTAACAATATGGCTCTGTGCGGTGAACTCTGAGGCCATGAGCATGCGAGAGGATATTTCTGTTTGCAGTGTTCTGTTTAGAACTGAAGCTACAACAAAGCAGCCTCCATTTACCACCGAACTCTCCGACTCGATAGGATCTCCCCGCTGCCCCTGCCATGACAGATCCTATTTCTGATAGTGACCTGGCTGTGTGCGTGCTGGATATTAACCACAAAGCAGCGCTGCTGAAATGGAAGCACACAATGTGGTTCAGCGAGATAGATGGAATGATAAAAAGGCAAATGTTGTGATGGTTATGAATGCAGATCATGTGACTGCAACTCAGGCAAGGATGTTTCTGTAGTGCTGCAGTAAACATGGTTCAGACGGCATACTGCTGCTGCTGACTCAGCCTCTGGGTCAAAAGTGGTATGTCTTGGTTTTCAGCACAGAGCTTTTGGGCAAAAAAACAGAAAGTAAGATGGGGTGACAGAAAGAGAAAACTCTGTCCTCAGGCTTTCTGACCAGTAGCACATGCCTGTGCCTTGACAGCCATACAGCACTGCAAAGCCGATGTGTAAGCAATGGACAGACTTATGCACTGCATGCATTTTAAACCTGGAACACCTCTCCAGCCCAGTGTTATGTTTCACACTTTTGCTGCAGGTCTAGTGCAGCTTTGCACCAGCCTGTGGCTTTTCTTGGAGACCATAGGATCCACAATATGGTTGGGTAGTAGCAAGGCTTTTTTCCACCAGGCAGTGCAGTTACAAATCCGAGCCCAAAACTATCCATGCACTGGTTGAGTAACTGTTTCCATCTATCATCTATCATCACGCAATGGTACTAAAGTAAGTGGGGTTCTCTGGGGGTTGGGGCGGGGGGGTGGTCAGAAGATTTGTCAAACAACACTAGTGTTAACAGTAAATCTAAGCAAAAATAAGAAAAACACTTCAAGGTCTGATTTAGCTTTTACTTGGAATTTGGTTTTATGTGAAAAGGCAGACAGAGATTGTGGCTTCTTAAATAGTGGTCATCTGACTCGAGTGACGATGCTTGATTATTCCATGACGACTGCATTTGACCAATCAACAGACTGCACTATTTCTCGTTCCACCCATATGTCCTGGTTCAGCACACTTGGTAACCCGGCAAGTAGCAGGGATGCAGGATTTACTTTAAAAGTAAAATCTACTCTGTTCAAAAATGATCAGAAAGACATTTAGGAATCTGATGGAGATTACATCTAGAAGCAACACTATGACTATGCTACTAAATCTGGTCGTATCACAAATGCCTGGATGTGCTGTGTGTAAATGATTTGCTCATCCTCTTTACAATGTCCATGTACAAACATACTCATAGCCATCTTCAAAAACCTCTCTGTAATAAACAATCATTTGAACTTTAAAGTTTTCTTGTTCTGTTGCTAGCCTTGCTTTAAATGACCATATAAAGCCCACAACAGAAACACATAGTGCTATTATAATAAGCACAGAACGAGAAGTTGAAAAAGAAGAGAAGGATTGTGATTTCCTTGACATCTGGGAATGGACAGCTCTACACATGCAGGAAGGTCACAAGAGGCAGTGTCACTGATTACACTACTGTCATGTTTTCTTGTACTGAACTGTGCCTTATGTTTTGAGCGTCTCCAATTTTGCTCCATTAAACAAGAAATAGAACAAAATCTGAAAACCAAGGTCTGGATAACTGAATAAATAAAACTGAACCTTACCAGTCATAAATATCATGTTTTTTTTAAGAAAAAAAGAGAAGCACTAAGAATTTAATTTACCTTGTTTCAATGAGGTAAACCGTGTAGGTTTCTTGCATACTGACTGCATTTTTTCCTGTCCTTTTCTCTGCCTCAGCCACACTGATCTCCATTCTCTTCAGAAGAGTCGCCCCCTTCTCAACCATCTGGGGAACGAAATAATAATCAAAATGACCTCAGGAAGAGCAACGTGTTTAATTTATAATGAGAGGGAAAAACAGAGGAGGTAACACACAAATGACCCTGTTTTATTCTCAATATCGCTGAAATATAGCTGTTGTTGAGGCATCTGGGGGTGTTGCTGACTATAAAGTTGCTTTCTGAGTCTGTCGAGTTGCAGGACAGACCTGATGACACATCACGAGGTCCGCAGCCCCTTAACCACAACAAGGTTTCCTCACTGGCTGTGCTTTACGGTATATATCGATAGTCGATGTCCAACCAGTTAAAAGGTTAGCAGTGACCTTACACATACTTAGGCAAACGTGGAGGTGACTGCAGATGTGAAAACGAGCTCATGGGCTCTAACAGTAAACGTATTTAGCTAAGCTACTAAAGTTAAGCTAGCTAATGTTAGCTAGCTGCGATGTTGAGACTGCTGAAAATGCAGAAAACAGGAATAGTACACCATCTCAGCAGCGGTCGTTTCGCATCTTTCTTTCATAAGAGGCGTTGGTCAGGTGAACCAAACTAGCCCTCTGTATTATTCATGTGTTTTGACCTGAAATCCTCCAGCTGTTGAGGCTGTTCAGTCCAGCTGTCTGTCCGCCTCTCGCCTGACTCTCACCGGCCTTCCTCAACCGAAACCGCTCGGGCACAATGAGAGTCGCCCCGACCTGGGGAAATGTGTATGTCCTCCACCTTAAAATCAATAAGTAACTGCAAACATTTTACCGTGTTTTTTATGTTGTTTTCTAACTCCGAAGGAGTCAGATCGGTGTTTCCAATCACCGCTATCTCCTCGCTTCCCGTATCCGCCATCATCCTGACTGTGTTGTAGTTTGTAGCGCATGCGCATTTCATCCTCACTTTTTTGGTATGCGTGTTTGTATTTATTGTTCATTATTCATCTATCATTCATTCATTTATTCATTCAATCTGATCGCTTATCTTTTTAAAGAATTGATTACATAAAAGTACTTTGACCAAACAGCAAAGCAAAAAATAAAATATTAAAATAAATAATGTAGATTTGATTTACATTCATACATACATACAGTCGTAGGCATAAGTTTGAACATACCCGGTCCAAATACATGCTGTGTTGATTTTCTACACACTTTAAAAAGATCAGAAAAAAAAAGTTCTTTAGTAAAGGCAATGATTCCAGAACTATGAATTCCATATAGAACCATGCTTAAATGGTTCTTCAGATTGATGGAGAATGTGTTGTATATGGTTCTATATTTAAACTTTCAGAAAGTGGTTTTATATAGTACCCAAAAGGGTTCTTCTATTGATACAAGCTTAAAATCGTAACAGTAGAAGACCTACTTTTTTATATGGACCTCATGGTTCTAAGGAAAACCATTGTCTTTACTAAAGAACCCTTGAAGAACCATATTTTTAAGTGTGCAAGTTAAAATAAAGACAACCTCTATAGGGAACAAACTTGGTATCTGGATATGACATTTCTGCATATTTCGTGCTCAATTTCTATTTATTTGCTCTGTTTAACATAAAACATACAATATATAATGTGCCATGGCATTCCACATTTTATGCTTTATCTTTCCCAAGATATTGCGTTCAGCAAATAACCAGCAATTGCGCAGTAAATGTGCAGAAGTGTGGTTTCTAAAGAGGATGTGTACTTATTCTCTTAGAAAGTCAATAAAACGTGATTTGACCGAGGGTGTCGTTTCGAAATAGACTGTACTTATATTCTATATACGTATGTATATACGTATGTATATACATGTATACATACATACATACATACATAGAGACAACAACCATCAACATATGCACCAGCCATGATGGCCTATGATATTGTTTTGCTTTTCAAGTATTTAATCTCTATTTTATTTTGGGCTTCATGCGTGTATTAAAATTCATTTTCCACATCCTCTCAGACCTCGAACAACGACCAAACCTGTTAGTCTAAAGTTTAGCTCTTTGTCCCGTTCTGATAAGCCTCTGGAAGAGTAAATAGGCTTTTGAAGGGGCTACTACATGAATAAGTCGAGTTCCTGGGCGGGCCTCTTCACACAGCTGGATTAAAAACATCTGGATCCGCCTACAGGGAAAGCCGAGCCAGAAAAAGCCTTCAGTCCCTGCAGCTCCGGTTCCAGCGCGTAGGACAGAGCCCGTAGCCGCTCATACATGTGAACCTATCTTTGTTCTCTGATTGTGAGAGGAAAAGTTAAGAGAAAGGACTCAGTCGAGCAGCTCGGGAAACTTTAACTGGAGATCCGTGTCTTGGGATTATGGGGCGCATGCGCTGCAGCTTCTCGGCTCTAACATCTGTTCTCTTCTTGCTGTGTGAGTAGGATAAGTTAGCATATCTCACTGCTTTACGGTTTTACAGACAACTACACAAAAACCTCTACCCTCTTTCAGTAAATATAACGCTGTATCATCTCGTCTAGTCGGATTCGGAGCTGACAGTGTACAACAGAATAGCCGTAGAGACAAAAGACTTTAGAAAAAACGTCCTTTCATCTTTTTATCTAGTCCAGCCTCACAGTGTGAGCTCTTTTCCAAATGCTAACGTTAAAGGGACATTTCTCTTAGCACAGTGTAAACGTTGTCAAACTCGGTTTTATGCGGTATTATTCAAGTTATTTGACATGAATCACTTAAAACAATAGGTTTAATGTGCAGAGATTACAGGGTGAGGCTTTTTAACCAGTCTTTAAGCCTGTGTGGAGTTATCATGGGTGTTTGTTCAGTAATTCAATACAGGATAGTGTTTATAGGCTAATAATTAGAGATGTAGTAATTGAATTTTGAGTACTAGTTTCTACAGGATTCATATACAAATCTTATTGTTAATTTGGACAATTACTATACAGGATACTACGCAAGATTATATGTAAAACATGACTAACTAGTAACATAGGATTAAAAAAATAATATAGATTATTAGAGAAGTATTACACTATAGCACAATAGAAATTGTATGCTTTCTTACAGCATTACTAAAGATCTTTTTGTAAGGACGGTTGCTTATGAGCCCTATTGTCTGGGGGAAATGCCCAAGCTGTCATAACTGTTTCATTAATACTGTATGCTTTTATCAGAAAGTATCAAATGACATACATTTGTGTGGAAAAAACATCTTGCTCCTTTTATGTCAATGAATGTACACCATAGCTAGGAAGAGTTAGTAGAAGCTGCACAGGTCTTCATACTTTCCTTTTACAATTACACTTTCAAATTGATCACAACAGCAACAAAAAGGTAAAGTAGTCATCATTTTGGGGTTATACACTGCATGTTGATGTGATTGGTGAATATTACAAAAAGATGGAAAGCCAGCACATTTATGGAGGTTTTCTGAAAGAAAACAAAGTGCTGTTAAGTTTCATGACAGAATCAGGTCCTGCCACAATGCAGTTTCAGGGGATGTTTCTTTTATTTCTTCTAGACAAACTCTTTATAGTCGCACATGCTGAAAGTGCAGATTTGAAGACCCTGCTTGATGTGCGACTTAAGTGCCCCAAAATATTGTAATTAAAAACAGGATTTTTGCTGCAAAGACGAAAAGATGCAATGGAGTGTGACCACACTGAAATGTCACAGTATAATATGCGATGGAAATTTCCAGCAGGAAATCCATCTTGAGGCTCCAAATTATCTTTGTTGCACAGCAGAGGCCCCCTAAATGGATTGGGTGTGTGAGCGAGCAGTAACACTTTTCAACAACAATTATGAAATATTACCATGTGGGTGGAGAGAAGAAAACCATAACCTCTTACTCCCTCACACCATACTCCGGCTGTTGTTTGAAATTGCTCCTACTAAAAATAGTTCTGGTAAATATCGAAGGGGACAGAGGGCACATGCGGTGAGACAGCAGTACCAGCGCTGATGAATGTGGCCACACAAAGACGCAGAAGAAAACCTACCGAGCCTGATGTGCCGTTCTCCTCTCTGCCCTGCCATCACGATTTCACACAATGCTGATATTGTCAGGCCCAAAGCGAGGGATATGATGCTGACAGGCTCGGAGCCGCCCCGTGCCTGAAAGGACCCGTGATGGCCCTCGAGCGGAGACACACACTGTTGTGTTTTCTCTCCTCTTGCCTTCCTTGAAAAAGTCCAGAGAATTGTTCTCTGTGGTCCAAGGCTTTCCTGGGTACTTACAATGAGAATCATAATGATTAGAAGTTAGATTTGAGGATAAATGGCTACTTATTGTTTGGCATGAGATAATAGGCACTGCATTGGCAGCTGTGGCCCCTCCTGTCTCTGCTCTAAATGAATTTGGAGGAAGGCTATGAGTAATGTGGTGTTGATGGCAACATCTCTTCTCTTCAAAATCTGGTAAAATTAGCTCATTGCTTCACCTTTCAGAAGTGCTGCAGAACACAATGGATCATTACTGGGAAAATCTTGAAAACATCTGTATGTCACATGCATGTGACGGGTGCCTGCGAGTGATGTTATGATTATGCTATTATTAATTTATCCAGGAAATGCTTTCAAGGAGCATGCTGAGTTTAAAGGCTAGTAAATGGTGGCCAACGTGCCACCCAGTGGCTGAGTTAGATCACTACATGTTGAAAACTTCATGGATTTTGACGCAGCATTCCTTACACTGAGGCCTGGGCTGCCAAACTGAGCCGTTTAGTGTGTTTCGTGTTTAAATGCACCTGGTTTGAAATGCTTTGATGAACTTAATCAAGGTTGATGGAGCACAGAAGGCAATAAACAGTGATATGGTCCAGCCCTCCAGGTCTGAAGCACTTAAGATTCCAAAGTATAAAATAAGATAAAATGTAAAGTCTCTAAACCAGTTGATTTTCATTTAATTCTTCAAACATTATACTCCCAGCACTTAATTTTGTTTTTTATTTGGCATAATAACACAAATAGTTTCTCTTAAAAAGCCCATATCGTTCATTTTTTTGTATTTCATTTTTTTCCCTGAGGTTGTGAGGGTTTATATACCAAAAACATAATTCTTTCTTTACATGGCAATTTTTCAATCTATATCTAGGCCTTAGAATTAAATAGGTTGTTATTGTTACTGTGAATTTAATATTTCATATATGCAAATGTCTTCTGTTCTGATTGGCTTCTCTGTATTGTGCCTCATTCAAAAAGCAGTCCAGGCTGAAACACTCCTTATAACTTAAGTGTGAGTGGGCGGTTAAGTTGGTGGATATATGTAAATGTATTAGTTTTTGTGACCTCACAAAAACAATGAATTCCAAAATTTGCTGTTTTTGCAATTTAATTTCCATTTGTGAACTGTGTGGACTAGGAAGTGAAAGGTACATTTTGAAACTTAAACAATTTTTACATATTACACTCTTCTATTTAAAAAAGTGAGAACAATTTGGTTTTCCATGATATGGAACCTTTTAAAAATTGCATCATGCAGTTCTTTATCATGCCGAATATTAACGTACAGTGTTAGAATGGCTAGAGCTTGTGAATTACAAGTAGAGAATGAAGAAGAACGTGTGCTTGACTGCAAAGCAAATAACTGCAGGCCAACATCTCTGGGCCTCCTGTAAGCATGTGGCCTTTGGATTTCCCATAAGTACAGAGGGGTTGTGCTTCAAACTTGGCCAGAGCGAACACTTCTGGCTTCAATTTATTTCTGGAGAAGTCACTGCTGATTTTAATTACTTTAAAGTTTGCAGAGGAGGCTTTTTTCTGCTTATCCAGCCTTTTAGTTCTCTCTCTCTCTTCTTTTGTCTCTCACTCTCTCTCACTCACTTGTATATTTTGATGGTTGGCATCAGCGAACATCTGGAAGTCTTTGTGAAATATCTGTGCAGCTTCTTTTAATGTTTACTCAGTTCTGTTAGATCACCACGCTCTCCGAGTGAAAGAAGCCCACCCCTCATCTGCTTTCAATCCACAATTAATAATGTTGTGATGTGGCAGCGTAAGGATAGCGGAGAGAAGATGCGTGGGAAGGAACGCAGCGTACGCCCGACATAACCACAGGCACTCATGCACCTCCCCCAAAAGACACACACACACACACACACACACACACACACACACACTCACTGACAAGCAAACTGTCCCAAAACACATAATATATACTGTATATCATCCAAATCCACTTAGCTCTCTATAGCCTCCAGATGGGGCACAGCACTCCCCACAGGCTCAGCCACAAATTCTGTCTTGATTGCAGTTGTCATTACGACTTTCACTGCTCTAAATATTTCTCATTACAATCATCATTTTCATTATGATGGCATGATTACCTAATATACTGCAGGCCTTAATCAAGAGCACGCTTTCAGGCAATTACGTTCAGGATTTGAGTTCTCTGACTTTTAATGTCTTTTTTTTATTGAGGATGGAGTATGTTAAACTGGCATTAAAAACATTGGCATGAACATATCATCTCTGTCCAAAAAACATGCATTTTTATTTTCTAGATTCATTTGAGCAGAGCAGCTGTCCTTTACATCATGTCAGAATTTCATGATGAATGGACCAAAAGAAATGGTCCAAAAATTTCTTGTAAAAAAAAAAATGTCAGTACACTGACATACATTAAAAGCAAAGAACGTTTTTGCCTTCTGCTGTAAAGATGCCATTTTGCAGATACTTAGTTTTTATTTTACAGTGAGAAAATGAGTGGTAGTACATTTAAAATACTATAGTGTTATACTGAGAAAGCAGATTACAATGTCTGTGATATAACTTTGCCAATTTTCTTGTGACTAACAGTGGTGGACAGTAACTAAGTAAATGTAATTTGTTACAGTACTTAAATAGTTTTTTTGTGTATCTTTACTTTACTGAAGTATTTCCATTTTGGGTGACTTTTTACTTTCACTCCACTACATTTCAAAGTCAAATATCTTACTTTTTACTCCACTACATTATGCGAAATCTGTCGTTCCTTTTGGCTTATGTGTGCATGTCAAAGCAAAAGAAGCATGAAGAAAGTGTACCAATCAGGGTACAGCTTTGTTTTGAGCTTGTTTTGACCTGTTGGACATACCTACCCAGTGCAAGTATACGGTTCAACGTCAGTGCAGCAGTGTAAAATTTTGGGAGTGCCTATTCCAACATAAATGATGAACTAACCTAACTTTGTGTAAATAGATCACAATATAGAAATATGTACACGTATGCAGTTGTGACTGACGTGTACCTTTTTTTCTGAATTTATACAAACACTATTTAATTTTATAGTAAATTTGTTTTTGCTAGTTTATGTTTATGAACAGAGACCTACAGACGCAATATAGTAAAGGAAAACACAAAATTTTTATTAAACTTAAACTTGTAACTAAGTTGCAAATAAATCTTAAACTGAAACTTTGCTTGTTTGCAAAAGGTTATTTCATGGCCACTTGGTTCTACCTAATGGAAATTGTTTGCCTTCAGTGTTTTGTGCTTATGATAATTTTAATAGACATCAGTGACATACTAATTAATGACATTCTATTAAAAGATTGGTGAGTGACAAGAGTGACACTAGAGTATTTTCACCTAAAATGTGTTAATGAAGCAAGAGTCTTGTTACAAAAATGATAATTAGAGTCATAATTAATCTTTTAGTACTTTTACTTTCGATACTTAAATACATTTGAAGACAAATACTTTTGTACTTTTACTCAAGTGGATTTCTAAAGGGAACGACTTCTACTTTTACCGGAGTAATATTTTACCTCAAGTATCTCTACTTTAACTCAAGTGCATGATTTGTGTACTTTGTCCACCACTGGAGACTATATATAGACCTAATACACAGTACTGTGCAAAAGTCAGAGATCACCCTTTGTTTATTTAATGTCCAGTCAGCACAGACATTAAGTACAAGTTATTCATCAAGAAAAAAACAGAAAATTACACAAAAACTAAATATACAACCAAATTTTATACTATTTAGTATGTACATACTTTTTCTTTATTACTGCTTCCATTATTTTCTAGAGACTTGCTTTCAGGTTTTCAAAAAAATCTGCAGGGATATTTTTCTACACCTCCAAATTTTCATCTTAGATCTTAGATTGAACATTCTGCTTCTCATTATCCAAGTAATCCCAAAACAACACATTTTGTGTGACAGTGATGTTGAGGTCTGGGCTCACCAGCACCAGCAGCTTCTGGACAGCTACACGTCCTTTCAGACTCATAGCACTGAGTTGTCCTCTCACAGTGGAAAGATGGACAGAAACACTTGTGGATTTTTTCAGATCAAGATTGGAGCTTTAACAGCTTTAAGTTCTGTTGATCTGACAGTGATAGTTTTGGTGGTCTACCATTTTTCTTATGCAAGTGGATTACCTGAGGTCTAATGTCCTCAGAAATATCTCCTGGAAAATGGAAAATGATAACTTGTGCTTTAAGGCCGTTTTAACTGGAAATGAAATAAATGAAGGGTGACTTTTGCACAGTATCCCTGTTTCACTTCTTTCTAAACCATAAAGCATGGAGTTCTAAACTGCTGTCCTTTTGTTTGTACACATTTCAGTATTTCAGGCCAGTGCTTTCACTCACATTTCAAGTAACTTCTGTAAGTGGTGTGACCAGTCCAGTCCTGTGTGTGAGGACAACATCTGCAGGAGCAACTGCAACTTCAGTTCTTTCTGCGCCCTGGCTGAAGAGGTCTGTGTGGCTATATGGTAAGTCAGGTCAATGCTACGTTTTTATTTACAGAATGTCCACAAGAAAGGAATCCACTGTATCCTGGCTGATTTCTCCGACACAGCCACAGCACGTTAGGCTCAGCACTCCCGTTTCACCTTTCACCAAACAAATACGAGAATAGATATGTACACAGTACAAATGCAGTTTGTCATTAACAACCTGCTTTATGGAATACTTGGATGTGTTGAGAATGTTTTCATTGGCTTAAGACAGTGTATTAAAAAGATAAATGTGCTTGAAGGTAGGACAAAAAAGTAGCTCCAAAGTCCAGTACGAGAAAATGATTTATGCTTTAACTGAACAACGGTTTTAGCTGAGCTAGGCCTCTCTGGACCATTGCTATGATAATGGACCCTGTTTCCATAGATTTCCCCTGAGCTAGTTCCGCCCAGTTTGGCCCCCGAGGAGTTTTTCTGGGAAGTTAATCGAGCTGACCTCTGATTGACCGTGTAGTAGAAACTGGCCACGTACCGAGGGATAGCCAGCTCTCTGGGGAGCACAGAAAAAACAGCTCTCAAATAAAACAGTCAAATAAAAACTCTCGTTCCTCGCTAATACTGTATGAATAACAAACACATTTATAACCTTCAGAAAAGAGTTGACTTTGGCAAGAAGTACAAAGAAAACTCCTGAGCAGGGATTCCCCAATTACTTGTTATTAGTTTTTTTTGCTCATGGAAGAGCATTCCTAAGAATTCAAAAAGGAATATTTATTTGAATGTCTTATCTATGTTAAACCTACACAAGATGATTGGATTTCGAAACGTTCAGCTATTGCCGACAGCCACGTAAACACGCAGCCTTTAGTGAGCAACCTGAGTGTGTGTGTGTGTGTGTGTGTGTGTGTGTGTGTGTGTGTGTGTGTGTTGTTTGCAGGAAAAGGGAGAATGAGAGTGTGAGCGTACGGACCCTATGCCACAATCCTCAGGATGCTCTGGAGAACACAGTGTTGTCCAATGACAGCTCCATCGAGTGTGTGATGACCCCACTGCCCTCTGAGAACGGCATGCTGTTCCTCTGCAGCTGCATCAGAGAACATGACTGCAATGACAAGCTTATCTTTGACAAGGGACCACATGGTAATGCAATAATAATAACACACTTTTTACACATGTTTTTCCCATTAATACCAAAGAAATATCGTTGCATCTACAGTGATATCTACAGTGGTTGTGGGATGCATGATGCAGTTGTGTGCAAAAGTTTAGGCACCCCTGGTTAAATGACTCGTTTTGTTAATTTTCTAAGTGTAAATAAGTCAATACATCCTCTACAGAGAACACACTACTGCACAATGTAATGCACAATTACTGTTTATTTGCTGAATTTAACATATTGGAAAAATAAAACATAAAATGTGGCCTGTGCAAAAGTTATGGCACATTTTCTATTTTATGTTGAAGCATTTTTTTTTCAAAATTCATGTTTTCATAATATGTTAAACTCTAAACTAAATAAATAGAAATTGTGCATTGAAGTGTACAAAAGTGTGTTCTCTGTAGAGGATTTGCTTAAGATTGTATATATTCACAGTCTGATACTGGAATTACATGCTATAATTAAAACTGTTAATTTAGCACTCTATTTTGGGGTGCACACACTGATGCTGGTTGTTTCCATTTATCTCACTGAAAAGGAGCATAATGCAGAGGTATTCAAAACAGAACTCAATCTAATTTCCAGTCCTGGATTTTGTAATCACTGGAGTTTAATTCATGTCAAAGAACAGGTGTTCTCCAGTCCTGGGAACCCATTGCTTCAGGTTTTCCTTGCCCCAACATACCTGATCCAAGGCATGGAGTCAGGTAGGACACTAGAGCCAATCAGGTACATCGATTAAGTATCAATGATTTGAAGTCCAGGACTGGAAAAAGGATTCCAGTTTTGGTCTGAATACCTCTAGCATAGTGAACAACTGCACTGACGTATCTAGGGTTTTTAGAAGTTGTACATGATTTTTTAATGTCAACAAAACTGCAATTCCATTTTGCACTGTCATATTGGGGGACAGGTATGAACCGTTTTCACGGCCTGAAATTTCCCTCCCCTTTCACCCCTTGTTGCTCGCTAGCAGCTCAACACTGCCACGAGATCCACACAGAGAGCCAACAGCATCCTAGTTAATCTAATAAATTGACATGCAAAATATTTAATTTGATTAAATTAATTAAAAATATAAATTTTTATTCCAGTAGAGGACCTCTATCGATTATTGGTATCAGTATCAGCCACTGCAAGGTGTAAAATATCAGTTATCATTATCAGCACAGAGATTCTATATCTGTGCATCCATTTATCCAGTATTATTGTATTTTGTCCTGTGCACCAGATTAGTTTATTGTATTGTCACTTTATCTGCTCATCTGCTGCCTTTTCATGTTAAATGTGGCATTGTAATTCGAGGGAAATGATATTTTGTTCCCCTCTTTGTACTGGCAGTAAATGACAATAAAGCTTGACTTGACTTGTGTAAACCTTTCTTGCCAGGTTTCTCCAGGCTAAAGAGTAAAGATGTGATTCCAGTAGTGGTGATCAGCCTGGTTCCTCCACTCCTGGTAGCTGTTATTGCTACAATGGCCTTTTACCTGTACCGCACACGGCAGCCCAACAAACAGCCCAAAGACTGGGCTCCTAAGCGCACTCATTACCAGTCGCTGGACCCACCAGAAGGCTGTGTGGGCGAAGCCAACAGCAGTGACTTCCATGGAAAGCTTCTGTCCCTCAGCGTGGACGCAAATTCAGACATGTCGTCAAGCTGTGCCAATAGTCTGAACCACAACACCGAGCACCTACCCATCCAGCTGGAGGCATTGGTGGGTAAAGGGCGTTTTGCTGAGGTCTGGCGGGCGCGACTCAACCACAGCGAATGCGGTCAGTATGAGACCGTGGCAGTGAAAATCTTCCCAGCTGTGGAGTACACCTCCTGGCGCAATGAGAGGGTCATCTTCTCAGATGCCAACCTGAAACACGAGAACATTGTGCAGTTCCTAACAGCAGAAGAGCGCAGCGGAACACCTGGTGCCCCCCAGAGGCAGTACTGGCTTATCATGGCCTATCACGCCCTAGGGAACCTGCAGGATTTTTTGGTCAGCCATGTCCTCAGCTGGTCGGAGCTCTGCGCAATGGCAGGCTCTGTGGCTCGTGGTCTAGCACACCTACACAGCGACACCACGCCCTGTGGCACGCCCAAAGTGCCAATTGCTCACCGGGACCTGAAGAGCAGCAACATTGTGGTGAAAAGCCGCAGCGAGTGTGCTCTGTGCGACTTTGGTCTGGCACTGCGGCTGGACCTTGCACTCACTGTGGATGACTTCGCCAACAGTGGGCAGGTGAGGAGGACAGATGCTGTATTCTTGATAGCCTTGTTGTACTCTCACCTTCATTAATTTTAGGATGAAGCTAAACTCTGCAGGCTGTAGTAGATCGCCAGGACCAGGGCTGGTGACCACTGCTAAAAGATGCAGTATTGATAAATGAAGAGCCATTAATGCAATTAAAGATCTTAACTATGTGTAGTTATACTTTCTAAGATTGTCATTAACTGAGGTTTATCTTTATCCTTATAGGTGGGCACAGCCCGATACATGGCCCCTGAGGTTCTGGAGTCTCGAGTGAATCTGGAGGACTTAGAGTCCTTCAAACAGATGGATGTCTACTCCATGGCTCTGGTACTGTGGGAAATGGCCTCTCGCTGTGAAGTCATAGGAGGTGGGAGACTATGCTGAAAATCATTTTATTAGTAATAATAATACAACCCCATTTCCAAAAAGGTGGGACGCTGTGCAAAATGTAAATGAAAATAGAATGCAATGATATGCAAATCATGTAAACCATATTTTAAAAGGAAAAGATCACGAAGACAACATATCAAATGTTGAAACTGAGCAATTTTATTGTTTTTTGAAAAATATATGCCCATTTTGAATTTGATGCCAACAACACATTCCAAAAAAGTTGGGATGGGGGCATGTCTACCACTGTGTTTCAACACCTCTTCTTTTAACACTCTGTAAGCGTTTGGGGACTGAGGAGACTGACTGCTGTAGTTCTGAAAGTGAAATGTTTTCTCATTCTTGTTTGATATAGGATTTCAGCTGCTCAACAGTTCAGGGTCACCTTTGAAATATTTTTAATTTCATAATGCACCAAATGTTATCAGTGGGTGACAGGTCTGGACTGCATGGAGACCAGTTTAGTACCTAGAGTCTTTTAATACGGAGCTATGCTGTTGTAATACATGCAGAATTTGGTTTGACATTGTCTTGCTGAAATAATCAAGGCCTTCCTTGAAAAAGACATTGTCTGAATGGCAGCATATGTTGCCAAAACATGTATATATCGTTCAGCATTAATGGTGCCTTCACAGAAGTGCAGGTCACCCATATAGATATAGATATATAGATATATATTTGAGATGTAATAATTCACAAAATTAAAAATTTGATTCAATACATGTGTCAATAAAGCAGAATTAAGGAGTGGTTAAAATATGCCTTACATTAATTGTTAATGATTCCATTTTCAGTTTATTATTGTATAAAACATTATACAAGTGAAATGGACAGTCTAAATCTTAAATGTCTCTAACAATCTAACACTCTAGTCATGGGCTAATATGCTAGTCATAATATGCTATGATACAATATGATATGCTGTGATACAGTTTGATACCATATGTTGTATTGTTACATCCCTGATATTAATATATAATTACAATATAGTAAAACTATATTATATTAAATAGTGAGCTTGTGCACCGTAAATTACCATAAATTATAATTACCATAAATACCTCTGCAATATGGGATTAGAAAAGCTACCACATATTTTTTACTTTTTTGGTTTGAAAAACAAAAAAATTGTTCTTACAAATGAGATATTTCTGTTATTCTGTTAAGTAACATCTTGTGACGTTGCAACTGTGTGAAAGCAGTTTTAATATGCAATAAATTCTCATTTCTAAATCATACTTGGTTCAGAGGTGAAGAGCTATGAGCCTCCATTCGGTTCGAAAGTGTGTGAGCAGCCGTGTGTGGACAGCATGAGAGATCTGGTGCTGAGAGACAGAGGACGACCCGATATCCCACTCAGCTGGACAATACATCCGGTACGTGTTTCAAACTATATAACGCAGTTGTCTGCAAAAGTTTGTGGTTGCATTTCTTGAAGTATTTTCATGGTGGATTTTGGGATATGTTTCAGATCATTGTCTTATTGTAGATGCCAGCTTCTTTTCAGCTTTGGTTTCTTGGTGTAACATTTGCTTCCAAAATTTGCCAATATATAGTGGAATCTATTCTTGCATCTACCTGTGCCATGTTTCCTGTGCAACCGGCTGCCACTCAACAACAAAGCATATTAGATCCACCCCCCATGCTTAACAGTTGGCTATGTGTTCTTTTCATCAAATGCTTTTAGCAATTTAGTTTATCAAATACTTTTGGTAATTGTGGCCAAAGAGCTTAATTTTTGTGTCATCAGTCCACAGCACTTGTTTCCAAAATGCCCTTTTTATTTAGACTTATCTAGATGTTGTTCTGTGAACTTTGACTTCTGTAATAAGGTCGCAGGAAAGGTTTCTTTCTCATGCCTCTTCTCTACAGATTAAGTTTGTGTAAGCAGTGCTACAGAGTGGTGTACCACCGGCTCTGTGCCAGTCAAACCTTCCTGCAAGTCCTTTGCTGTCATGTGGGAGCTTTACTTTGCATTTCTGGCCAGGATACAAGCAGTTCTGTCTCAGAGTCTTCTCAGTCTTACAGTTCTTGCCTTGACTTCCAGTTTCAATTAAATGCCATTTCTTAATGACATTTTGAACAGTAATTTAAAATGGAAGCACTTTGATGAAGTAACTCGAAGGGTGTTCAAACTTTTGCACATACCAAAATTATTATTTTATTTATTTCTGTTTAAGTTTATCTGAAATAAAGTAACTTCATTAATATTTGCAGAAGAATGTTCGTTTTTAAATAGTCTGCTGCAGAGGTTGTGTGTACTTCACTTCAGAAATCAACAAAAATATGTAATTTGGCCAGAGGTACCCAACTGTTGCATACAGCTATATTACTACAGTGAACAAACAGTACCTGATGGTTGATGGTTTGCAATAATTTAATATATTAAATGCTAACCATGAGACAAACAACATTCATGTAAATATCTGTGACAGTACTAATAACAGTGCTACTTGGGAATAATGATATACCCCACATATTTTACCCCCCTTGTTTCGTTATCAGCACTCAGATATTTCAGGTGTTTAAACCACTTTTTGGGATGATATTATTAATATAATTTTAAAGGGCCATTCCAGCTTAAAACTAGCATTATATTATATGTTATTTGTTGTGTTATGTAATATTACGTAGTGCAGTACTGTATCCTTTGGCTTTTACAAAGTTCACAAAAAAGTTTTACAAAATTCATGTTTTGTGTCCTTTTTATGTTTTTATCCATCAGCATTCTCTCACTACAACACCCAGCATGCTTTACGCACATACGTCATACAACCATTGTAAATCCTTATTGTAAAAGTGCTTTCCACCTTCAACATGCATCATTAAAAGGGGGTTTTCCTAGTCTTTAACCCCTAAAAATCCCAGGCTTATGACAAAGTAAGGCTTATTATTCAGTAACTAAATGGACTACAGTGCAAACTAGCTGAGTGTTTCTTGACCATTTAAGGGGTTAAACCAGAAAATCTCACAGAGACAACTGTGTCAACACCGTAGGATGCCAGTAGGCATGTTTACAAAAGGAATAAAGTGTTCAATTTGACCAGAATGCCCGGCAAATCATTTGAACAGAAAGTGAGTCGTCAAATCATTATTTAGGCAAAACCTGCTCTTCATGCCACAGATGACACTGTGATGAATATGAAGCTTAATACTGCAAAAATATTCCAAGTTGTTAGGAAACAGCTGTTTTATGTTAACAAAAAATAGTTTTCTCACTGAATTGAAAAGAACACAGAGAAATGTCACTTTTAAAAAGAAGACAGGTTGTTCCCAAATCTTTTACGGGCAGTTTATGTGTATTTCTTTTTATGGATTTTCTTCCATTCGTTCTTGGAAATGAGTTTCAGTGAGTTCTCCTCAAAGAATCTTAAAAGATTGTGCTGCTCTGTCTTACTCTTGCAGGGAATGCAGCTGCTGTGTGCTACTATAACAGAATGCTGGGATCACGACCCAGAAGCCCGTCTGACTGCACACTGTGTGCTGGAGCGCTTCAACATGCTGGCCCAGGAGGAGCTGGAGAGTGCCACCATCTCTGTCCCTGTCCCAGCCTCTGCAGAGCAGCAGGACTCCTCTCTCCCCTCTCCAACTCCCTCGCTCTATCCACAAAACCCCGCCCCAGCTGAGGCTCACACCACTGCCTCCTTCAGGCAACTGAGTGAAGTGTGACCGCTCCCAAAGCCCTGCAAAACAGACTTGTTTTTGTAATATATATTGGTTCAATATGTGGAGCTGGTCTCCACTGGTTTCTTTTTTTATCTAAATATCAGCTTTCTGTTTTGGTACCAAAGGAATTAATGAACATAATGTGCCACTGAAGAAGGACTGGAGATGAATAAGCAAGATAATGTAGGCCCTGGCTACATTTCACCACAGTCTGCAGCCATATACAAATGTTTGGGCGCCCCTGGTCAAATGATGTGTTTTGTTGATTTTCTAATTGGAAATAAATCCTCTACAGAGAACGCACTTTGTACATGATGTACAATGTTTATTTGCTCAATTTAATATATTGGGGAAAAAAGAACCATAAAATGTGGCCTGTGTAAAAGCTAAGGCACACTTTATATTTTTAGTTTGTTTTTTTTTTTGTTTTTTTTTACAATATTTTAAGCTCAGAAAAATAAATAGAAATTGTGCACTAAAATTGAGTCCTCTGTGAAAGATGCGTTAACTTATTTTCACTTAGAAAATCAACAAGACCGAATTTGACCGAGGTTGCTCAAACTTTTTCATGGGACTACATGTGAAGCAAATTTCTGCGGTAACACTTAAAAGATTCAGCTTCAGTCTCAGACCACAGCAGCTATTTAAAATCCTGTTTTCGCTGAACTTAAAAACTAGTATGCAACTTTGATTCCTGAGAAATGGAAAGTTAGCGTAGCAGCAACAAAGAGTCTAAAAGGTCCTCACTGTGCTAGCGTGGTATGTCCCAGTTCTGCTGGCAAAAAATGTTTTCCAAAAACTGTTTACCACACATAATTTTCTCATTTGAGATTTTCCATTGCCCTCTGAGTCGCTTGCTTTTAACAACAATGTGGTCGTCCCATGCAGCTTGGCTTTGGGAGGGTTTCAATTCGATTAACCACAGGCCCCGAATTGAGCACACGCGTCAAAGGCCCAACACGCAAGCAGGCGGGAAACACTGCTTTTTTTCAGATGAAAGAAAATCTGAGAGCGTTTTATTGTTCCTCTAAATTGATCGCCGCACATAAGCCTTCCTTTATGGAAACAATTCATAGCCTTTTTTGAAGTTCCTTTTGGTCAGAGTCATAGTTGAATTGCACACTTACTTTTAATTACTGGCTCTCCTGCTTCAATTACTGCTAGCCTTATTGTGTAAACCAGTTAAACGGGTCACACGCTCGTCAGCCAGGAGGCTGTGGGAAGAACTTGATCACTTCTTTGATCTGTTCACTAAACTAATCAAGAAATGCACTTGACAGAAGGCAAAGTTCTTTTAGTTCATCAGCCAGTCTAACTTCATTTCTGCTGATTAGCTAGATTCAATCAAACTATTAAACCATTTATTAGAATAGTAACGTGAGTTAAGGTCTCAGACAGGACATTAACTGCCACCTTGTCTCAAAATAACTGTAATCAAGTTAACTCAGTACTACTCTGGGTCTAACCCTAAAAAGTCATAGCCTGAAGATTTCTGAGTGAGATAGAACAGTGAAAATTGCTTTAAACATTAGTGAGGGGGGTAATCTAGCAAAAATCTATCACGAAACCTCAAGATATTTTCTCGATACACAATATGAATCACAACATTATGTTTTTCTGAGGTTTGACAAGGTGGAACAGACAAAAAGCACCAGGAGTGCCACATTTAAAAATACTATCATGAACTATAAATACAATGATTTTTATTCAACATTTTGCAAATTGCATTAAATTCAATTAACAGGACTAATTATGCTCTCTTTATGCTGAAACACCTGTTTTCCATGTTCTATAAAGCTGCACTATGTAAGATTCAGGAGAAAAGAAAAACTTGCTAAACTGTTGTCTGTGCACTTCTGTGAGTCACCTTGTAAAGCCAGAAATAATTGAAAAGTCAGAGGCGTGGAGAGTTTTTAAGATCACATCACATCTCTCTACATATTAACATCACATGCACAGGCTCAAAAATGAGGGCGACATGATGTTTGGGTCGCACTTGCGTCCTTCAGCAGGTTTTGACTGAGTTCTCCAAACACTCTTTCAACATGTTAGCAATCACCAGACTCATCTGCTCGGGAAGGGGACCAAGCTACAACTAATGTTACAAAATGCTCTTCCGAACGTTGTGTGGAATTACACATTTCCACCAGAAGGATCCCCAAAACCCCCAAAATGTAGTGTAGCTTTGAGTATTAAGGATATCCACATTTTCTTAAGAAAAGCACATGGCAACATTTCTCACAATAATGATAAATATCGTCATGTTTCCCACCCCTAAATATTAAAATGTTTAGAGGAATCAGCCAATCAGTAAACACTGTCTTATAATTTTTAAAAAGTAGTCTGAGGAGGGGGTATCTCTGGCCTTATGTTCTATTTAAGATCATGCACTGAGTACAGAGGCAACAAGAAAAATTGTTTTCATAATATTTTGTGAAAACAACCAAGCTGTTTATGCTTTACAGATGAAGGAACAGATCTATTGAGCCATTTTGTCCTTCAGTCACTGTGAACTGGTGTCACAAATGTACAGGTTATACACTCATAAAAGTGTTTATGTATGACTGTGTCTTTTTTTTCAGTCTTTAAGCTAACGCAGACACATTATTCATCATCCAAGCAACCAACACAAAGAAACCATAAACATCTTCTAATATATTAGCAATTTTATTAGTTCATTCATCAGGACTTTTCTCAAGCTACTGGGAGTGTAATTAAAACATCAGTGCAATTCACAGCTCAGCGAGATATACACTTTGGGTCAGTTTTCTGAACACAGCTCAAGATCGAAAGTAGATTCTCCACTGGAAAAACCTGTTAGCCTAGCATCTGTCTAGTCTGTGTTCTGAAAATCAGCCCTCTGAGTGGAAAGCCAAGTGAATTAAATCAACACATACAGACTGGAGAGCAGATATCAGACATTCTAGGTGTCCTTGTCAGGAAGCTGGGAGCAGATATGTACACAGGTTGTGGTTTCACTTGTAATGCATTTCATAGAAGAAGGTAAAGAATGTGTTTGGGCATAGACCAGAGGAAGACTAACACAAATAAGGCACCACAAGTTTCTCAGCAAGACCAACCAGGGCTGAAGTAGTGATTTCAAAATGAGAGGCGTTTAAATTGTGCTCTGTCAGCACATGCTCATCTAAACTGCTGTCCTTTTGTGGCAAAAACAAAAGATGCAGCGTTTAAAATCTAAAATCATTAACGCTTTAGTCAAGCACAACCCTTCAAACATCTTTTTTTTTAACCTTCTGGCTTATATGGCTCAAAATGTCGTTCAAATTTAGTGTAAAGTAGCAGTAGAACAAATACTCCTGTTCCATCCAAGCTACATGTTGTTTTATAACATATTTTGATTGCCTTTCAGACTGAGTAGTCACAGTTGAGAGGTAGAATCACACCAGAAGTAAAAAGTATAGGCTCATCTGAAACTAGTGAGCATTTACTGCATGCAATTTCACATTTCAGATCACAGTTCTGTGGAATTTTAGTTTGTCAATTTGCAATAATACTGTCTGGTGATGTTCCACATATTCGCAGAGAATGCAGATCCCAACAGAGAAGATAATGGAGACTGGAACCAGTGGCTTAGTGCTGAAGTGCTAAACTAAAGTACTGTTTCGCAGTTTATAATTGGGGCTAACATGTTACATGCTCACAGAACATCAGGCAAACATAAACAGAGCAAGCCTATACCTGAGCAATTATATCAAAGAGAGAAAAAGAGGGAAAGAACGAAAGAGGTACAAAGAGAAATATAGATTGAGAGACAGAGGGAGAGAATGAAAGAGAAAAAGAAGCCTTAACAAATACAGCTCAATCCTCAAGAACCCCCATAACACCTGGCTACCCACAACAGCCAAAAGAGCCAAACCAGCAAAGTCTCAGTCATGAATCTAGACTCCTCAGCTATAATGAAGAATAAGAAGCCACTGCTCGCCATCAGCCAAAAACTCACAATTTCATATCAGATCTCCTTCCCATGTTTCTACTTATATCAAAATCATAATACATCAAATAAGATTTTACAAGTATGAGAAAATGTTTGACCATAACATGGTCAGATATACAGCATTCCATAATAAGATCAAGAGGACTTGATAAAGCATCCACAATCACAATCCTCTCCCAAATACCCCTCACATATCATCATTTTCCCTCTCTATGCACAACTCCCATTAAGGCAACATCAACAAAAGACCTCTGTGCACGCTGGGACCTCTTGTGGATCAGAATAATTCACTGTGAGGTTATACAAAAAAGGATCAATCAAGGGATGCAAAATATGAACGTCAGATTCTTCTCAGTGTAAAACCAGCAGTCCACAGCAACTCTCCGCAGTGTTATACCCATATCAGCGTTATAGGAAATCGTATAGGAGGAGAGTCTTTGTGTGGGTGTCTTCATATGTGAGAAAGGGAGCACCGACCCAGGGACAGTGTTGGGGCAGTACAGCTGCCTGGGACCAGGCTACAGCAGGTGAAGGGGTCAGGGGTTGGCTTGAGAGGCTGCAGGAGAGGAACTCCGACCCGAGACCATTTTCCACAGCGGTTTATGATACATCCAGCCTTCACCCTGAGGAAAAAAAAAAAACAGGGAAAAGAACATGCTTAGAATAAAAAAGTACACATTTTGTTTAAGTAAATAATTTACAAGTACACAAACAATCCATCTGAAAGACAAAATAAGCTTTAGCAGACCACACAAACACCTAAGGGAAGCACACAGTCACCACAGGAGACCTAAAATGAATTGAGCAAAATAACACAGATCAAATTGTATGTAATTTAGCTATTTTTATGCATTTGAGCTATTATTAAAGGGTACAGGCATTCAGTCTTCATGATTCACATGATCCAAAGCACTACACCACACACCAAACAACACAATAATTCTTTTTTGGTTTAAAAAGTCACAGCAAGAGTAGCGAACAGATTTCGCTGCATGTTGATGAGGCTGCTTACTTTTCTTTCAAAGTATTTGGTCCTCCAGGGCGTCTCGGTCTCAGTGCGGTGTCTCTCCTCTTTCCTCTGCCTCTCCTCCAGGAAGCGCTTGTGCTCCGTGGCCTTCTCCATGTCTCTCTGCTGCAGGGACTCTGTCACATGCTGCCACAGCCGCCTGCAGGAAGAACAGCTCAGTGATAGAGGCTGAGGCTAAGGCTTGGGTCACAGCATATCTACTATGGGATGGGATGTAATGATACGAGAGTAACGTACACTGACTTTGATTTTTTCCTCAAAATTTGCCCCAATTTAGTCACGTCCAAATCCCACCTATGAGCTAAGTCTCTC